CCTCACCCTGTTTACCATAGAGCTTGCACACTGTTTTTAACTCCTCATTATCTAATTTTATTGTAATCACTTGTGCCCACATCCCCAATAGTTGGTACTCCGGGTAGTGCGCTTTTCCATTTGTTTTACATTCCTTAGTTTATCCTCCGGAGTTTAGTGTCACTTTAAACAAGTAGTAAGAAATGAATCAGTTACGATTATAGCAACAAGTCCCATGTATATGATGATGATGATAATACAATCATAGCAGCAGCAGGAGGTATAATAATAAAGTTCATAATATGGGTCTCAGTTTGGTTGCTGTATATTAAACGTCACAGTAACAGTCGGGCGTCATTTCACTTTTGCCAGTGACCCTTCTCCAGTTAGGGAATGACTCCTATGCCCACAGTCCTCTGGCACTCAGGGGGTTAATGCCTTCTGTACAATGAAATCATTATAATGTATTGTCCTAGGATGACAGAGAGAAGGCAGGTGAGCAAACATCCCGCCTGGCCCCCGGGGCCCCGTCAGCACCCTGAGGATCTCCCAAGTGCCCTGTTTGGAAGGCATGACAGCAGTAATTGTCGGTTATAGATGATGTGAGCGGCTCCTCTTCCTCACCTGGGTGCGTCGCCTCCTCTGCCGGTGCCGCTGGACGCTGTTTGTCCATTAGCGGCAGACGGGGAGACAAACACTCCAGTAAAGCAATGTACACAGCACAAGAGGCTCACCTGCCGGCCGCACTGACATCCATCACCCCGGGGGAAATGCAGTTTATTTATGTACTTTAATACTTTAATGAGCTGCACTGATTGGAAAAAATAACCCATTTCCTTAATGTCCAAATGTCATCACCGTCCCTCTCTGTGTCATCCAAACCTCCACTAATTCCCCCTACTATCACCCTAATAACCCTCTCCCCCACTATCACCCCCTATACTATCCTTCTACCCCTTAATCACCCCTACACCAACCCCTTCCCCCACTATCACCCTAATACTAACCCTCTCCCCCACTATCACCCCTATACTATCCTTCTACCCTTTAATCAACCCTACACTAACCCCTTCCCCCACTATCACCCCTATACTAACTGTCTTATCCATTGTCAACCCTATTTGACCCGCTCCCCCACTATCCATATAGTAATCCTCTTCCCCTCAGTAATCCCCATACTAGCTTTATTTCCAACTATCACCCTTATATTAACCCTGTACCCCACTATCATCCTAATCCTATACCCCACTATCACCCCTATATCAACCTTCTGCCACTCTTTCACCCCTATACTTACCCTCTTCTCCTCTGTCAACTCTATACTGTCCCTCGCCCCCACTATTACACCTATACTAGTCCTATACTATACTTCCGTTCCATTAGCATTATAATAACCTTCTCCCCCACCATTACCTGTATTTTATTCTCCTCTTGCTCCATTATCTCCTGTTTTCTATACCTGCTGCACCCCATTATCACCCCTCATTATCACCACTCCGCTATTTCTCTCCTGTACAACTAACTCTGTGATGTCTCTTCTGTATAATCACAACTATATTGTCCCACTTCAGCTCACCTCTCCGGTATTCCCCACCTCCCCTCTCCATATTACCATTGTGTGCTATTCCTCTCCCCCATGATCACCCTCCTACTACCCCACTATCACCTCTGTTCTACCCCTCTGCCCTACTATCTTCCCTCTACTAAGTCTCTCCACCTCCATACTATCCCTCTCTCCTCTATAATAAAACCTATTTATCTCTAACCTTCACTACCCCATCTACTGTATAATATCACCCTCTTCTAACACTCTCCACCATTATACACTATCGAATGTTTCTCTCTCCTATTATACACTGTACTCTCTCCTTCTCCACCATTATACACCCCTCACTGTCCCTCTCCACCATTATGCACCCTTCACTGTACTTGCCCACCATTATACACCCTCCATTGTCCCTCAATCTGTCGTTCTCCACAAATGTATACCCCTCATTGTCCCTCTCCACCATTATACACCCTCCACTGCCCCTCTCCACTATTATACACCCTTTACCATCCCTCTCCCCAATTATATACCCACCACCGTTCTTCTCCACCACTATAGATCCTGCAGTGTCCCTCTCCACCATTATACACCATCCACTGCCCCTTTCCACCATTATACACCCTCCACTGCCCCTCTCCACCATTATACACCCTCCACTGCCCCTCTCCACCATTATACACCCTCCTATGTCCCTCTCCGCCATTATACTCCCTCTACTGCCCCTCTTCACCATTTTGCACCCTTTACCATCCCTCTCCCCAATTATATACCCACCTCTGTTCTTCTCCACCACTATAGATCCTGCAGTGTCCCTCTCCACCACTATACACCATCCACTGTCTTTCTTCATCATCATTCACCCCTTACTGCCCCTCTTCACAATTATGTACACTGCACTGTCCCTTTCCACCATTGTACACCTTTGACTGTCCCTCTCTTTCATTTTACATTGTATACACTAGTACAGAGGTTTAGCGAGGTGTATAGGGGCTGGTGTTGGTGTATAGTGAGATTATAGACTGTTATATAGGCCCATTGAACTCTGTAGACTGCTATAGACTGGCAGACAGGTGTGAGATGTTCTGTGTTATATAGGCTCTTATATACAGTATATCCAGTTCAATCTATAGGATGGTATAGCGAGGTATATAGACCAGAGGAATATTGAGGGTTATAGATTACTTTACTTTAAATATAGTGTGGTATATGTACTGGTGTATGGGAGAAGCGAAGTATACAGTGTATAGAGGTTCAGTTAAAACTTTAGATTGTTATAGAGGTATTGTGATGCATGTAAATTGGTATAGGGGTACAGTGATTATATATATATATATAGTGGTATACAGCTATAGTGAGGAGTATAGATACATATAAGGGTATAATGAGATATTTATACTACTATTGAGGCATAGTGAGTGAGATAGAGAAGTATAATGAAATGTATGGACTGGCAGGTAACTATAGAGAGGAATAAAGACTGGTTTATAGGGGTAGTGAGGTGTATAGACTGGTATAGAGGTACAGTCAGGTATATAGATTGGTATTGAGGTGTATAGACCAGTACTGAAGTGTAGTGAGGTGTATAGACTGGTAATGGGGTACAGTGAGGTAGAAAGAAGGGTATTGAGGTGTACAGACTGGTATTCATTTGTGTAGACTAGAATTGAGCTGTATGGACTGGTATTGAGCTCTATTGACTGGTATTGATGTTTATAGACTGGTATTGAGGTGTATAGACTGGTATTGATGTTTATAGACTGGTATTGAGGTGTAGTGGAGTGTATAGACTGGTATTGAGGTGTATAGACTGTTATTGAGGTGCAGTGAGGTGTATAGACTGGTATTGAGGGATGTAGATTGGTATTGAGGTGTATAGACTAGTAAAGGGGTGCAGTGAGGTATATAGGTTGGTTTCATGGCATAGTGAGGTGTATAGACTGGTTTTGAGGTGTATAGACTGGTATTGAGGTGCAGTGAGGTGTAGAGACTGGTATTGAGGTGTATTGACTGGTATTGGGGTATGTAGATTGGTATTGAGGTGTACAGACTAGGAAAGGGGTAGAGTGAGGTATATAGGTTGGTTACATGGCATAGTGAGGTGTATAGACTGGTATTGAGGTGTATAGACTGGTATTGAGGTGTATAGACTGATATTGAGGTGTATAGACTGGTATTGGGGTGTATAGACTGGTATTGATGTGTATAGACTGGTATTGAGGTGCAGTGAGGTGCATAGACTGGTATTTGGGTATGTAGATTGGTATTGAGGTGTATAGACTGGTATTAGGGTATGTAGACTGGTATTGAGGTGTATAGACTGGTATTAAGGTATGTAGGTTGGTATTGAGGTGTATAGACTGGTATTAGGGTATGTAGACTGGTATTGAGGTGCAGTGAGGTGTATAGACTGGTATTGAGGTATGTAGATTGGTATTGAGGTGTATAGACTGGTATTAGGGTATGTAGACTGGTATTGAGGTGCAGTGAGGTGTATAGACTGGTATTGAGGGATGTAGATTGGTATTGAGGTGTACAGACTAGGAAAGGGGTACAGTGAGGTAGATAGGTTGGTTTCAGGGCACAGTGAAGTATATAGATCAGTATAGTTGGTTAGTTGATGATATATTGACTACCATAAAACTTTAGTCCATAGTTCATGTTCTGCGGTCGGCCATGTTGCCCCCCCC